GTCAGGCCTCAGCAATTCAAAGACACTGTTGATGGGAGAAGTTACAGCGAAATGATGTAGTCATGGTGATGGCTCTTTCAAGCTGTGCGGATAAAAGGATATAAAATCGGGGCACATGTTCATAACATTTTTATCTCACCTTTTGAGACTGACCGTCGCGATTTCAATTATGTTCAGCTATTTTCAGTCCAATTTGTTCTTTCCAAACACAAAAAAAATAACGCCAATGCATTCTCCACATGATTTGTAATTAAAGAAGCAATGAGACAGTGTGTGCTCTGAATATCTTGCAAATAGTAAAAATATAAAAACAAGAAAAAGAAAGTAGCAATGGTAGTAGTTTGATATGTGACTTCAATTGTTAAAACTAAGGGCAGTAATATCATGAACTTCTTTTCCTTTAGCTAGTAAATGTTCTTGTTTGTGAAAAGGACGCGGTGCGTCATCAAATAATATTTTCTGTTGACGATCTTTGCCTCTACCGCGATGATTTTCAGTCTTAAATTCAAATATTCCTTTTAAAGCTATTCCCTAACTGATGTCAAACATTTCCCATGATTAAAGCTGTTTTCTTTAGGAAAGACATCCCTAAAACCCCGATTACGCAACATGCACAGACACCAGTTTGGACCGTCTTAGACTCAACACACAACGTTTGTTGAACATCCAAAGCATATCATACCGTCTGAGCCACACAGAACAAAAATGAAGCGAGACATCTTGAGAAGGGAAACAGTGTACCAGTCTCGAGAACAACTATATCTGCTTCATTCAATGGCTTTGCTTCGAAAGCATGTTTCTTTATATCAAATTGCATTTCAACTACTAATGAAAAAAAAAAAAAGCTTTTATAGCGACAAACTATCAGACACAATAGATTGATAAGATCGTGGTCTCCTCTAAATATGCAGTATACGTTATATCATTTACTTCTGATATAGTTTGTTGAGATCTGAATAGAAAAATTGTAATGTCTTGGCACTGCCTATAAATAAGAAATGATTTCTCCCGTGGAATCCAGCAGGAGCTCTTCGCTCTCTCAGTAGGTTTTGCCCAAATCTAATTTGACCTCTACGGTCAAATTCGCTTCAGAGCATATAGTTTTACCACGTGGTTTGTAAACATGACAAAGAAGATACCAACTACTAAAAATTAAATATTACAATGGTTTTACTTTGATCATGAATAATAATTACAGTAGAACCCCGTTAATACGACCAACAACGGGCCAAAATAAAGTGGTCGTATTAACGGGGTGGTCGTATTGCCAGGGTAGGGTCATTTTTTTATAGCCGGCGTGTTGATGATGACTTGAATTCCAAGCGTATCAAAGTTTCACCTTCAAACAACTGTTCTTAAGAATTTACATTGCATTTAAACAATAAAATATACTTAATTAAAACAGAACCATTTAGACATGAGCGACTGAAACCAAACAAACGGGAACGAATTGCCGCACGTATTTACAAAACCAGGATGACGTGCATGGAGCGGGCTTCATTTTCATTTATGAAGATGATTTGGTAAAAAACCTGTCACTCTTGACTGGCTTGTCCTTTGCTCAAGCCAGTCACTTTGCACCTGACTAATCACTTTCGCGAGTTCATTTGATGTTTTGGAGTTTCCCTCAGACTGAAAAAACACAGAATATCCTCCAAACTAGCTAGCGCCTGTCCATAAGATCCCAGTTTCGGCAGTACAACAGGCCCTTGAACGCCGTTATCATCATAATCGCTGACATCCTTTTCTGTTGCCGCTTATCCGTATTAGTGGTCGTATTGACGAGGTTAAAAACAAAATAAATATGCACGTTGGGAATTAAAAAAGTGGTCGTTGGTCGCATTAAGGGGGTGTTTTTTATAAGAAAATGTATGCACATTTTGCCGGGCCGTAAAATAGTAGTTGTAATAATAAGGTGGTCATATTAACGAGGTGGTCGTAAAGCAGAGGTTCACTATAAACGCAATTGGTAGGATACAATAAAATCATCGCGAGACGCGCATAATGAATCTGTCCTGAACGCTTAGTTCAAAGGCTGCACTGGTAAAAATGTTTAATAAGAAGTGCTCCAGCCTTTACCTCTCTCTTTAATAGTAAATAACCAATCAGAAACTCCTGTACACCGTCATTTTGCATGAGCAAATAGTTTTAGAACCACGGGTGTTGTCCTCAGTTTCAATGGTCGTGTGTCAAGGTGAATGTGTACGCGGGCCGTTAGAAACGTCTAAACTGAAAATTTTTTAAGCAAACTGCGGCTTAGCGACGGTTTAACTAGGAGATTGAATTTGTAGTGAGTTGAAATGAAACTACAGTATATGTGCTTGGATGCTGCTTTGGATTTGTGGCCACCGGTCATTTTGAGCTTGGAGTTTTCGCTTCTCGGATCGGGCGTTCAGACTGGAGTGTGCAGCCTTGGGCTTTTCTTATGTAACTAAAAAACTTCGAAATGGATAACTCGCTAAAATGGGTTCCCTTCAACCTAGTAAGCGGTCAGATAGCAAGCAATGCCCTGTAGAAGTAAGGTGAGGTATTTTTATTGAATTTGACTTATTTTGTTTATTTTCAGAGCGGTCGTAAATATTCCCATACAAACTCTTATAATTTTACCATAAATAATTTCGCAAGATGATCATCTGACAGCTGGAGCTTAGGCCGCCTGTGGCTAGTATAGCATTATAAACAACACTACACTTATCACCTTACACTCAGATAAAAGTTATCTGCTCATCCATAAATCTGTCACGATATCATAGCCAGTTCATCTCTGCCTTTGCAGTTTTCAAGATATCTTACAGTCAGCGAATCCGTCTCATCTTTTAAGTGACAGATGAATTTGATAAGTTGGAACACTTCTCTATTTCACCCGGTGCACAACTTGCTGGCTCTACTAAATTGCATATAAACAGAATGAAATTAATACTAATAACTTCTTTACATACAAATACCAAGTGCTTAAAGGACTTGGAGCCTAGTTCGCACAATCTGACTACCCACTGCCCCCCCAAACCGTTTTAGGAAACATTTTCAAAAAGTTGGAGGAAGTGCTTAAAAGTTCAAATGAGGCAGATCTCTTATCAACTGGTCTGACTTAGGCATGTTGACCAATGAACTCTTCTACGTTCCAGCTCTTACGGTACATAGCTTACGAACAGTTACCTGTCTCATTTCTGACAACCTTAACGTAATAAACACAAAAATCTTTATACCCCTGTTTCGATCAATGCTGACATAGGTAGCATGACTGTATTGAAAGGAATGTTTTGAGTTGCAAACAGTAATAATATGGCATTGCGTGTGCTAATTGCAATGGATTGCACTTACTGAAATGCAGTGTAAGTTTGACAATTTTGGAAAGCCAAATCTCAAATACGTTCATCAATCTACCTTGGCGGTTTCAATTACTTGATTCCTGCAACTTCGATACTATTTTTTTTTAACTAGGGAAAAATATTGCACAATTTAAAGCCTGTTTTGGAAACCTACTCGAAAATGTAATCCTGAACAAAAACAGTAGGAATTTTTACAGCTTGTATTTTTCAAAGTAAATATTGAGTGTTCAAAAAAGACCTTCAACAGAAATATCAAGAAAAAAGGAAGCATTCTAATGCAATATGATTTCTAGCATCTAAAGCATTTTGTTGCGGTAATCCAATATAACAAGTAGATGTCATGATTATAGCATATTTTGCCACGCTCATAAAATTGTTTCATGACACTTTTCTACTGTTCCTATAAAAAGAGTGAGTGTGCCTATCTAAGCAAGCACGAAGCAAGTTCTAAAGAACAATACTATATCAAAAGCTGTAAAACCTTACTGTACAGTCACAAGGCGACTATCTGTAAAAACCTGAAAAACGCTTATCCTTTTGTGCCGTTACTTTCCCTTCAGTTGTTTTCGTCTGAATTGTGAGGACAAATAATACCTCCCTTCAGGTCATCAAAGTTGATGTGACCCCAACGACGATCCCTCTCATCAACTAGTCTGACTTGGGCGTATTGACCAATGAATTCTTTTACGTCCCAGCTCTTACGGTACATTGTCTCGCTACAACTGCCTGTTTCTTTTCTGACAACCTATATGTAACAGCAAACATATCAAACAGTTTTAAACCTTTGTTTTGATGAATGCCGACATATTTATAATGATTATTTCAAATAAGGAGCAGACGCTTTTTTAATGAAACAATATATTACGGCATTAAATGTGCTGATTGCTCTGCACCTAAGAAAAAAAAACATTTGTTTCAACGTTGTATAAGCCAAAGACAACTAAAATGCGCCAGACGCGAGGTTGGTTCCCTCTTGGAACCTCTCTCGAGGAAACTCAAAATGAGCCATCGAAAAGGCAAAAATATATTTAAAAAGTAAAAACCAAACGTTTTCGGCACTAGCTATAGATCGTTTTTAGGTTCACTATCATTTACTCTGATGATGACCAAGAGTCGAAAACATTTGGCTTTTTTTTTTAAATATGTTTTTTCCTTGTAAATAGCTTATTGTAAAAATAAACGAATCTCATGGATATCACGAACCTCAAAATAGTTTCGCAATTTTGAAAGACCAAATATCTGATACGTTTATAAATCTACCTAGGTTGTTTCAAAAGAATCAAAGGAAACATAATGGTCAAAGTGATAATCTCACCTGGTTGTCGACAATAAGCTCCGCACGGATATCACTTATGGTACATCCTCCACCGATGAGAAACGAGATATCTCTGCCAGCGATACGGAAACAAGGAGAAATTAGAGTTCCCTGGGGTAGATCGGCACCACCTGGGTGCAAGTGTCCTGCTGGATCGCTCTCGCTGGGTCGTTTCTCTATCCCCCCTATCCACCAGTCCCCTTGCTGATTGGCGCTATCTCTATTGCGTGCCACTGGATTGTCACCAAATGTTGGCTGGTAAATGAAAGCTGTGCCTGTCATTTCCCATGCGCCGATTCCATCTTCAAAGTCAAAGCTGCAAGCTAGTGAGAAAGAAAAAAGAGGAAATTTTTATCCCGCAGAATACTCTATGACTATCATTCGATATCATAAATTCCCCTTTACAGTTCTGTATCTACCTTTATTGCAGTGTGCGCCAGTGAACCCTGAAGGACATTTGCAGCGAAACCCTTTATCAGTGTATCCAGCTTGACACGTGCCATTGTTTGAACATGGATTGCTGCTGCAGGGATTCTGTTTAAAGACAAAATGGATTATCCCTTATTTTGTTATCATCCTTGGACTTTCGAGATTCTTAAAGAGTCAAATCATACCAATACCAAGCATATGCCTTCCAATCATCGTACCCGATAGAAAACCGTTATAATCCTTTTCTCCTAATCCCTTGCGCGAGTAATTTCAGATGGGAATTACTGGATAATTTGTTGTTAATGCTGATGTTTGGAGCGTTAGTCTTTCGTAAAAGCATTGCAAATGTGTGAATTTTTTGCCCTTTGCTCTCACGATGTACTTACGCTACAACCGTCAGCTCTAGAGGGAAATTTATCTTGTATTACCAGGCCTCCTCCTCCACCGACACAGCACCACAGTTTATTGAGAAACTTACTCACTTTAAAAGAAGGAAACAGCTGACTATCGGAAACAGCTGAAATCGCCCATCTTACCTCAATAGCGAGATAAATGTGACCATTTTTACTTTGTGGAACAAGCGGGCTTTGGTCTCCCTCCGAAGAATGATCCTGATTCAATTCGCAGGTGAAGTTTCCTCCCACCTTGGGTCCAAAGTTCATGGACACACAGCTAGGTTCCATATGACACATTTCATTACAGCTCCCCTGATGTGAAACCTCTTCAGTTCTGATGACATTGCCCTCTATGACTTTGTTGTGTATTGGTGTTTGGAAAATAATGGTGCGACATTCGTCATCTGTTTAAGCATTGAATATCTGGTTTATATTCACAGTTGAATATATGTCACTTGTCAAGGGGAAGGTCGTCCTAGATAGAACTATATCCCAAGCCTCGAGCACCAGAGGGCACAACTTTTCTCTTTAAGAATCGATCTTGGTAGATAACGTTTTTATTTTGTCTAATTGTAGGTGTTTTTTTTTTGTTCGTTGCGTGGAGATGTTTTGTAGAGACGTAAATGTAGTGATATTTCGTCAGACTATTGTCTTCTATAAACAGTTAAAATCGTTCTATTAATATGAATATGATCTGACGCAGATCTAGTAATATTTTGTCATCTGACAATAATTTAGAAAATGTAAGATAAGGAAATTAATTCTAAGACAAAAGAAAACTTAAAAAGCATTTCTACCCACTTATCAGCAAGCATCTTCGCCATTTGCCAAATATAGCGAAATCAAGAATTTTTCCCCTTCAAATTCTCTATGTTTACGTCAAAAATTGATTTTACTTTAAGTCCCTCGTACTTCCTATTCTAATCCATTATCTTCTTTTTTTCCAAAGAAGTAAGTAACCATTTGGTGGCATTTGAAGCACATTTTTGATGCTTTAGAATCAATTTACCTGAACAAAACCCTCCAGCTCTCGTGACTCCTTCTTTGCAGGTGCAGCCATAAGAGTGATCAGTCTTTATGCACCTCGCATTTACACCACATACTTTGCTGTCATTAGTGCACCGGTTAATATCTTCAAAGGAAAGTTGTCAGGTCAGGAAACATTTATCGCCAGGGAGGAGGTGGGGGGTAAGTGGGGGTGTGGGATCATT